AGCAGTTAAAGAAACTACACTGAATACTATTCAGCAACTAGGAAGAATGAAATTCTACCATTTGCAACCAAATGATCCCAACTAGAGACCATTATGCTCAGTGAAATAAGTCAGTTTCGAAAGAACAAATACCATATGTTCTCCCTTATATAAGGAAAATTCATGCAAAATATAAGATCAATAGCACATTCAATACTGTTTTTGCTACAATCCATGTGTTTTAATATTTGTCTTTCATTTCTTTAGTTTGTTTTCTCTTATTAAATTCTTCATTGACTCATAGATCATACACTAGTACTATTTCTCCAAGGTTTTTGTTTGTTTTCTGTTTTATTTCATCATTAACAAATTGGTTATTTGGTAGCATATCATTTAACTCCACAGTGTTGAAAAATTTTTTAAACTTTATTCCTGTTGCTGATTTTATTTTACAGGTTTTCATTTAATGGAATGTAAAGTAAATGCATAAGAGAGACTTTCACATCCAGACATGAAAATACAGTGCAGTATGCATCTCTGCTTCCAAATCAAGCAAGAACTTTCAGTGAGACTGATGGATGTATCTTGACAATAGGATGCTTGAACTACGGGCAATGTCAGGACACACTTAAATAGCAGAGCGATGGACTTAGTATTGCTTATGAAGGACTCTAATATTGTAATAATTTGAGAGAAATCAGTTGGGGGGCAGTGAACTTGGGGAGGGAGTAAGGAAAATCCCAGAGCCTATGGAACTGTACCATAAAAATTAAAATAAAATAGAAGGGGGAAAAAAAAAGAATCCTACTGTTCTACCAATTAGACACTCAAGATACCTGCAAACACAGGAAACAAGATGATTGTATCATCTTTACATCCATGTTTGTCAGAATTCATATTGCTGTCAATAGGCACGCTTTCCAAACTAATATCTTATCTTTTAGCCTCCAACTAGAATCTATCAGACATATTGTAGAAAATCTGTGCTTTTTAATTTGGTGCAAACAATTTTAAAAGTGCAGTTTCAAAATTGGTGCAAACAATTTTTAAAAACGCATACATAGTTTTCTCACAAGGATTGAAGACCACCCTGAAATATTTAATGAAAGACAAAATGGTCACGGATCTTGATGATTTCCCCAAAATGTCATCTAGGAATGAACTAGTCCTAAAGATAGGGTTCCTTGATATAACCACATACTTGTGCACACCTACACGTTACACACATCTGGAAAGCAGCTTTAGTTATTCTCCCATTTTTTTCTGTTTTGGCACGGCCCAGACAATTCAGCAAGCAAGCTGGACAGCCAAATGGGAAGATCTTTATCACTCAATTATTTTTCTTATTATAAACTACCTCCCAATTCCTCATACTTCCCCCGTTGCAATTTCATGATGTTCTCTCAACTTCCCAAGGAGATAAAGTGAAATGAGGGTCCTTGAGAATTTCCTTGACCTTTCACCCAGGATGAAAACTAATTTTCTACCACAATCAGTAGCTTTCTTAGAATAAATTACCTACAAGGAGAGACAGCCTATACCTCAGGTCCACAGAACAAAGCCAGTCAATCCACCCAGTTCACCTTCACCATCACTTGGATTCTACTGCACTGAAGCTACAGCACCCATGACAACCACCTGCTTACTTGGTTCATTTCAAGGGTATTCCAAGTAATTTCAAGCACATGAGTAAGTAATAATCCAATTTCTCTCTATTATTATAGTTCCTAAGAGTATGTGAATGGAATTATTTTTAGCCCAATTATTTCAATTTGGCTCAAAGAAAATTAATTTTCTTTGAGAAGATTGCTCCATTTTAGAGTTTTTGGCTTATACAAAACTCAACAAAGCCTTGGTTTGACAAACCTGCAGTTTAGAATGTTATCTCAGCAAAGCCCAAGACTTTAATTTTGAAAAGCAAGCATGTGCCAAGAATAATTTTTTTTAGGACAAGTAGATTTTAAACATAGTTCCTCCTTTTAATTTCCAGGAATTAAAATATGCTATGTCTCACGGCCATGTTAGTATAACTTTCTACATGGAATTTTTTAGGTAGTACTATAAAAATAATTATATTATTTTTAATGGTTATCATAATTACCAACAGATATCACACATTAAATAGTTACTACGTATCAGATTCTATATTAGGTCCTTTGTAAATTATTTCAGTTAGTTTTTCAATACCCCTATGAGATATTATCTTCATTTCATAAATGAGGATTTCCAGGCACTTGGTAAGCACAGGGCTTTATACAACATCATAATCTAAAACCAAGTAAACGGGCATGGGAAAAATGCAAATCAAGATCTCTTTGTCCACAAGGCAAAGGCGCCCAATTTTCCTCACATATGGGTCCCATGAAGATTTCTCTCTCTATATATATATCTATATATCTGCATCTATATCTGCATCTATATCTATATCACCTGACATGGTAAGAATGGTTGACTATAGTAAATGATTATTTTCATCATTATTCAAAAATTATTCAGAAAAGCTCCCAATCAAATAAGGTAAAGTAGTTAGTTTGCATAATCAAGAGTTTAGTTCAGGGTTGAATTTTCAGGATAGGCAAGGCAGGTCAAAAGCTCACTGTGTGGTTTCATTAGATATCAATTTATGACAGTAGCTAGTTGCAAACAATCAAGACAATGCATCACATAAATATCTCTGCTGCTAAAATCAAAGTGTGTCTCACAGAGGTGGTAAGACAAGGGAAAATGAAGATGAAAGAATCGTAAGAATCTTTCAGCAAGTCTTACAGTATCCTCAACAACAAACCATTCCAATTGCTTGCAGATTGTGCTGGCTTGAACCCAGCCAAGACTTTGTTATTCAGCCAACTTTGTATTGGAAATGACTGTCTTGCTTTGGTATTTGATGGTCAATTTCACATTATTTCAGTAATGCCTGAAGAAATGCTTTTTGACAATTTATAGAAATCCTGGCTGCAATTCATCCCACTATTTTTAGTTAAGACGAGACCAAGGCACCGTGTTGGGCCATACCAAATAGAATCTAGTTCCCGAGTCATAAATACAGGAAAGTATTTAAGTTTTCTACGTTTGGATGTCCAACTACATTAAACTACCACTACCTTTGCCCCTACTAGACAAGCCTCATTGCTTTGATCCCAGAACCTGATTGTCTTAATTTCTTTCAAAAAAAGAACTACCAGGATAAGCTACATATTGAAAGAAGACATTTTGATCAAAAGCATCTGGTTCTTCCCAGCTGTACACTTTGTGCAATTCATTCACCTTCTCTGGTCCTTAATTCTTTCCATTTATAAAATGGGGTGTTATACAATCCTTAATTTCTCTTCCCATTTTAAAAATCATTATGCTGTGACTCATTATTCTATTGCCCATGTTCTAGAACAAAGGCTAGCATCCCTTTATTTTCTGTGAAATTCACTGTAGGTGACCAACAGGCCAGGTTATTCTTGAAGTAATGGACATTCTCACCCAAGCTCTCTCATTTCTAAGTTATAAGCATTTCTACAATTTAGGAAGGCTAATCACGAAATAACTGTGTTAGTCATTTGAATAGCTTTAGGGGTGGGAAAGATCTGGCCCAAGGGCTACATAAAGCATATTGAACCATTTGTTCTAGCCCTGCCAACAACTGCAGGCAGGATTCAAAATTCCATCAATCTATAGCAGGCTAATTTTAAGCTGATAATTTTGTATGGCCTGAAAATGATGTTATAAATATCCAAATGGCCCTTGGCAGAAAAATGAAAAAGTTTCACCACTCATTTCACTCCTATCACAGTCAAAAGCAGAACTGTTACATGATATATCTGTTTTATAATATGCTATAAAATCATAGGCACTGTAAGTGTAAAATTTCATTTCCAAAAGACCTGCAAAGGGAGTCACATAGGAAAATTCTCAGAGTACACAACCATATGATTATAAAGCTCAAGAATCAATACCCAGAGGAGTTAAGAACTTTCTCAGTGTTAAACAGGCATATTGGAACTAAAGCTGTAAAAACCCAGTACCTGGTATCACTCTACTTTGGAGATAAGCATTCCATTTTAAAGTACTGGACAGTTATGCCATCCCAAAGGTAAGAATGCAAGGAACAGAGTCACACAAGCTTGGGGCAAGGCAACTACACCGAGGTGTGAGCCACACTCAGACATGCTTGTTGCAGAGATTTAACAAATTTTATTCTCCCAGAGCAGATGTACATTCTTTAAATTTTAAGATGCATTGAAAAGGAAGTTGAAACAACACATGCAAGTGCAGTCGAGTCAGGCAACATTATTCAAGCTCCTGCCATAATCTGGTCAGAACTTCTAGGAAATTAAGGTCAGGGGAGGGGAGGAGAGAAACTCCAAATAACCAACCTAATAACTACAGGGAAGTCTATAGATTTCTCATGATATTTGTCTCTAGCTACTCATGGGGGTTCCTAAATTGCCAGATTTGTTACATACATATTAAAGTAAGCACTCACAATGACTTGCCCAAATTGAATGCATCCAAGAAAGTAAGTGCAGAATTATCATGAAAGCCTCAAATCAAAGATTGGCTATCCTACCTGCCTCTAATGATTCTTTTTTTTTTTTTTTTCATTTTTTAAAGGCAGTGCTACAATCAGAGAGGGGAAGAGAGATCTTCCATTCAGCACAATAACAAGGGCCAGGCCAGGCCAAAGCCATAAGCTTCACCTAGACTCCCAGATGAGTGGCAGGAGACCAAGCTTTTGGGCCATCTCCCACTGTTTTCACAGGTGCATTAGCAGGGAATTGAGAAGGAAGTGGAATATCTAGATCTATTCCTTATGGGATACTGGTGTCACAGGAGCTTAATTTGCTGTGCCACAGCCCCTGCCCTCCTCTAATAATTCTTACAGAGTGAGCAATTAGAGTACTAACAAAGTTTCTACCCATCTAAACCTTAGCTTCTTTTAATGAGCAACAAGAATGTTCAACTTTTTGGAAACCACCCATCTGTAAAATGTCTAAAAGCCTTACAGCTCAGATATTAGAGGAAACACTCACCCAATGTGGTTGGTTCTTAAAGATATTTCCAGTTCTCTCAACACTTGTGTAGATTCTTGAACACGCCTTCTGAATTTCTGTAACACAACAACACATATTCTCACAAATTATTTTAGCAACTGTTGTAACAGTAGCTTGCTTAGCTTTAACACCACATGAGAAACACGTTTTCTAAAGTGAGCTGCTTTCACAAAGCACACTAAGATTTTTTAACAAAGAAAATCAGAGGAGGGACTAAGAAAATGACTGACTTAATACAATAAGTATCTTCAGCAATCATATTCACCAAGACACCTATGGGTCAAAGACCCCAAGAAAACCTCCAGTACCAAGCACTTACTAAGAGGACTCCTGGTACCTAGTACATAGTCACACTCATCATTATGAATATAATGCTAAATTCACCAAGAAAAAAGGCACACGGGATGAAACATGGAAGCCAGCTTCCAAGAATCTTCTTGCCAGGACTTCACAAATGACACCATGCTTCGAGCTCATCAGAGACTCAGTGTCCAGGCTTCTCCTGGGGACAAGTCACACAGGCACATATCAGAATACTGCACTGGTTAACATGCTGCTTGGGATGCCACATCTTGCATGGGAGTGGCTATGTTTAAATTTACACTCTGCCTTTACATCCATAATAGGGAAATAGTAGTGATGGCCCCAGCACCTGGGTCCCTGCTACCCTTGTGGGAGACCTGGATTGAATTGCTGGCCCCCAGACTCAGCCCAAGCCTGGCTGCTGTAGGTATCTGGAGCATGAACCAACAGGTGGGATAATCTGTGTATCCCTCTCTGTGCCTCTGCCTTTTAAGCAAATTAAAAAAAATAACACGAATTCCAGACTCCCACAAGGAAAACAGATATTTAGAGAAACCATTATGTTTTCTTCAATGGCTTAGATTCAGCAAGCCATTCTTATCAGAGGAAAGTGGGAACCCTTCCAAAACACAAGTTCCCAGATGCCAGTGGTAAAGGACTAACCTTGCAAAGATGCCCAGTTCTGGATAGCATTCTCCAGACTGCTGTATTAACTCTTCATGAACGAATATACTGCAAAAATCATCATTCAGAGACATGTCTGTCCCAAATCATCACCTGGAAGGTCCCTTCACTGAAACATCAAAATCCTACATATTTTAAGACTCCTTCAGGGTCTTACTTCTTTACCAAGAATTTCTCTAGTAGTGAATGTTTCTACCTCTCTATCCTTTGGACTCTTAGTAACATGCATGCTACCAACAAGAGACTGAAGTATACCTGAGTTCACTGGAATACTTTTTCCCATAGACATATTCTCCATCAGTGATTACAGTCTGGCCACTTTGAAAGAAGACTTCAATATGTAATACCTTCTACTGAGATTTCGGGCTCTCTGAATTGCAGATCTGCATCATCACTGACAAGAAGCTTTGAGAATTTTGGCTCAAGACTGGACTCTTGTTTCCATGGTGACCACAGAAATACAGTTATCCAGCTCCAACCTTCTGCTAATGGCTCTCATAGCTTGCAAGAAAGGTGTGTGAGTGCAAGAAGGAGACTGAAAATGAGGATTCCAGAATACAGGTTGGCCCAACAAAGACCTAAAATGCTGCTAACATGGGAGGCTCCCATCACTCTCTCCTCCTCCTCTGAAAGACTTCTACTTTCTCACTATTGTTTCATAACCATTATTCCAAAGGAGCCTAAAAAGACCTTTCCAGCTTTCTCATTCCAGAAGTAGTAGGATCTAAGAAAAAGAAATTTCCCCAGGGTCTGATGTGGTAGCCTAATGGCTGAAGTCCTCGCGTTGCACATGAAGGGATGCCATATGGGCACAGGTTCTAATCCTGGCAGCCCCATTTCCCATCCAGGTCCCTGCTTGAGGCCTGGGAAAGCAGTCAAGGACAACCCAAAACCTTGGGACCCTGCACTCGCATGGGAGACCCAGAAGAGGTTCCTGGCTTCTTGCTTTGGATCAGCTCAGCTCCAGCCACTGCAGCCACTTGAGAGTGAATCAACAAATAGAAGATATTTCTCTGTCTCTCCTCCTTTCTCTGTATATCTGACTTTCCAATAAAAATAAATAAATCTTAAAAAAAAATAAATTTCTGCAATGTGATGTAAAGAGAGAATTGTTCACTCCCTTTCTCTATCAAAAAATGACCTAAAAGACACAGGAGTTTAGCTTAGTAATTAAGATGCTGCTTAGGATGCCTGTGTTTCATGTCTAGTACCCGAGTTTGATTCCCAGGTCTGATGGCTCAATTCAGCTTCCTGCTAATGGAGATGCTGGGATGCAGCTGTAATGGCTCCAGTAACTGTGTCCTGCCACCTGGATTGAGTTCCCAGCTCCTAACTTCAGCCCTGGCAATGGCTGGCATTTGAGATGTGATTCAGAAAGCAGGAGCTCTTCTATGTTTTTCTCTGCCTCAACAACAAATAGCTATACATAAATAATTACTGTTTAAAGGTATAAGAAATGGCGGAGTCATGGATAGTCCGGAAGGACATCTGAGCCTAGAGTTCGCTGGATCCTCTTCCAGCAATGAAGAGACCAGTTGCAGTACCTGGCAAATTAGCAAAGTAAAGCAGGTGACAGACTAACTCTAGAGGGCATCCTCCAGAAAGGACCTCCATCTGGGCAGTACTGCAGCTTGGACAAAGACCGCAGATTTGTGGTCACCTGAGTCAACCACTTCCAGGTGGGTCGTCTGTTTCAGAGCAGCAGCTCCCACACCAGTCTTCACTCAGGCTCTCTGCCCACTTGCCCTTCTGAAAAAAACTCAGTGTCCTTGGCTCAGAGTCCTTTGTCTTGGGCAGTGCTGATGCATTCCCTGCAGCCCTGGGATTTGCAGGTCTCCCATCACTGCCTTGGGCTTTCTCAGGACAAGATGTTCTATATATGTCATCAGCCACAAGGAGCCTAGTATGGGCATAAGTCTAAATTATAAAAAAAAATGACCAGCCATGTTTGGCTGTGGGGCTGGGGCGAAAGGAGCCTCCTGCAGCATGGCTGCTGCAGGGGGTGCCCCAGCCAGGCTGGACCCAATGCTGGGGACTCAGGCCATGGTCACTGCTGCCAAGTGGTGACCAAGTCCTAGGCTTTGGGCGGCCAGTGCGCCTATTTGGTGCCAGGCTCTGCCTGCTGGAGTTTTTAGGGTATGTAATTGCTACCTAAGGACAGCCATGGATAAGCCCAATGTGAGTATAGGTGAGGGATGAATCCTGGGTGATTCCCAGCAAAGGGGTAACAAAATTTGCCGGCAAGCATGGGGACTGAGACCTGTTGGTTTAGAGGGGAGTCAGTAAGATCTCTTTGGGCCAGACTGATTCACAAGCCCAAGTGGGAATCCTGAGATGGGCTATTAGCACAGAGCATCACTGACTGCCACACTAGTCCACATGAAAGCTATGGCTGAGGAGCTGTCTGGCAGTGCTAGGTACCTGACTCAGTGGTGGAACAGGGGATGGCTCACACTTGGTAGGGTCAAGACACTAATCAGCATGTGAGAACCAGGTCTGGGGGTAGATGAACCAGGTCTGTGGGGGACATGTAGGCCCAATCCTGTGGAAATACAAGTCCCACTGGTAAGCACACGAGTTGGAATGGTGATGGGCTGACCTAGATGTGACCATGGAATCTGCACACTTATAGGTAAAGGAACCGACAACAGTCTGGGCAGGTCAAGGCAGCAGCACCTGAAGGTGCATCCTAAAACAGGATGTGGGGTAGGTGAAGCTGCAACTGGAAGGGGGTGGACTGGGCAGTGCCAAGCAAACCTCAACTCACAAGGAAGAACAGAAATCAGGATAGAGCACAGGTCATGCCAAGTTGGGCTCTTGCACTGACTGGTTTACATGAGCCAGGGATACTAGGACAGAGCAATGAAGGCAAAGGCCAACACAGGTGAGGGGCGAGGCCAACTGGGTCAAAGTAACCACTGGCACGTGTGTACTCTAGGGATGGTAATAGACCCAGTTGGGGAGCTGTGAGAATACTCCCTTGCTGGGTTGGTGTAACCCCTGGTGAATGTAGGGGCCAGAGTGAGGGTTGCATTCTGGTCTGGATATGGTTGCAATCTCCCTTGGTACAAGTGTGAACTGGGGCTGGGTAAACCTAGCCAGGCTAGATGCCAGCACAAACAGAGTCTCTGGAAAATCTGGGTAGATATAGGACGGACAAAACTAAGTTTTGGCCCCTACTAAGCCATGTGTGAGCAGTGTCTTGGTATGGACAAGCCTTGGCTGGGCTGAAACATCTAATAGTAAGAACCGGAATGGATTGAAGGTCAGCAAGGAAAGGTCACTGTTCCTGCCAGGACAGGAGATGGACTAAGTAGGGCTGGCCCATGGACCCACTGGTATGCTCAAGATCTGCCATAGGGAGAGGTTCTGATGGAGGAGCTTGGGAAACTCTTCTGTCAGGACACAGTCCCTGCAAGTGAGCATAAGAACCACAATAGGGAGCAACCCAGACCAGGCATAGTTCAGGGGCAGACCAGGCTGAGCCAGTTCACATTACCTACTGGTGAATCTGAACACCAGAACAGAGTGTGGGTCAGGCCAGGTTTGGTTGCAACACATACCAGTGCACATTATGGAAAGCCAAGGTGAGGTGAGCTGCAGCGCCCAACCAGCACACGTGAGAACCAAGGAGGGAGGGGCAAAGCCAGAAGGGGGATGTGGACTCCCCTGCTGGACAGCCACTCCCACTGGAGAGCATGAGCTGGGATGGGGGCAGACCAGACCAGGCAGGGCTACAACACCTGTGGGCCTCATGTGAGCTAGATCAGGGAAAAGCCAGGCTGGGCTGACTGTTCTGACTGGTGCAAGCATAAATTAGAGTGGGTGAGGGTTGGTTGGGCTTTGCCGCAACATCAGCTGGCAGAGGCTGGCACTGGGGGCTAAATTTGTCAAGTTAAACTCTAGAACCACCTGGAGAGTGCATGATCCGGGAATGGGAGTGGCCTAGTGGGGAGATAATGGGCACCTCCCTTCTGGGTTACCACTCCCACTGGAGAGCATGAAAACCAGGACAGGGGCAGGGGTGGCTAGAGAGAAAGACACCAACCAGTATATGTGTGGACTGGATAGTAGGGCTGGTTGGGTTGAACTAGGCTTCAATGCCCATTGACATGTATGAGAGCTAAATGGGATGTGGGACAGACTGAACAAGTCTGCGGTACATACTGGCAAGCATGGGAACCAGGGTAGGGGGCAGGCCTGGTGGGGTTATGGGAAGTAGCCCAAACTAGGCTGCAGCTCCCCTGTTTTACATGAGGACCGAGTATGAAGTAGACAGGATCAGGCTTGACTGCAACAACCACCGGTTCGTGTGGAAGACAGGGCTGGAAACAGAACTGGCTGAGCAATTGTAATGACCAAAATGTGCATAAGCTGAATGGGGCGACGGGCTGTGCTTGACCCTGTACTGGCAAGCACACACAAGAATCAGGTCTGGGATCACCTCAGATGAAGTTTCTTTGCAGAACCCTCCAACTGTACCGCTGATCTCAGAACCCCAACCATGAAGAGATCATGTCAACCAGTGGATTCTGAAGAGATTTCATCATGCTTGCAATGGTGAGATTGGCAGCAACTCAAACCTGTTGAACTATCAAAACCTATCAAAACTGTTTGAACAAGATCTTCGGAGCATGCCCCACATAGGGGACCTGGAATGGGTGGGAGGTTGGGTGGGGTTTCTCCCTTTGTTTCTCCCCTGACCCTAGATACAGAAAAAAAAATGATATTAGTGTGGAAACAATGGTCTTACCCACTTTCCTGTAACCCTTGACCCTCTGTGCCCTAATCAACTATGTAAGATTATCAAAATTAAAAATATTAAAAAATTTAAAAAAATAATAATAAAACAGAACCAGCCAAAGGGCTCAGAGTTAGACATCAAAACAAGAAAAGGCAATCAAAACCCTATGTAGTAAGAATAACCGCAGCAGTTGGTCCTGACTAAGCCGGGCACTATCCTTTGTAACTGCATAACTGAGGTCAAACTCAGCTGACTTTGCCATGTATTCTATTATTTTGGCAAATGCTCTAGTTTCAGCTGAACTTTGGACTACAGAGAAACCCTAGCTGGCATCCATTCCTCTAACACATTAACAAGGAGAGCCAATATCACACACGGCTAAAACATATCCAAGGTGCTTTCACACTTCAAATGGAAATATGTGCCTATGGGGAGCAGCTCAAAGGAGCCAGGTGGGATCCATGGGCAGTATGGACCCCACCCTTGTCCTTCTGTGTACAAGGAGGGTCCACAGATGAGCCTACAAGAGGCAACAGAGTCTGGGACAAGCTGTACAGTCAGTTTCATTTGCACAACTGCAGTATCAGCAAAAGACCAGACTCCCCTCTTTGTGATCTGCAGGCAAAAGCACAGACTTCCAGCAACCTGCCCTGAAACCAAGCAGCTGGCTTGCAAAGCTTGGGTCAGAAAGACATCTAATTGAGTTTCTTCCTTCTCTGCCCTGAAGGCTTTCATTTAAAACAATTTGGAAGAAAATCTACATGGAAAATACTTAAGAATTTTTTTTAAAGAGCAAATAAAGTATTTTCTATTCAATTTAAACAAAGGATGAATGAGTGCAGCATCCAAGGACTCCAGACATAGTTCAAAGAAGCCTGCTCAGCCCAGGATGTCTGGCCAACATGTGAAACCCGGATGGGAACTCCAACCCCTCTCTCTGCAATGTGTAACAGCTGAGAATTCTAAGCTCATCTGAACTACAGTCCATGCCTTACTCTCAACAAATTCAACTCTCTGGGCTCTAAGCATCACAATTATGCTGTGTGCAGCCAATGACTGCCTCTTGCTGGCTCCAGCAGAAGCCGTACTAAAGCAAGAGTGGCTCGTCCTTTCATCCAGAGCCGAACATTACATCTTGAGAGATGAGACTCTGAGCAAACCACTCAGGTGAATACACAGCCCAGGGCAGAGAAGTCAACCGTGATGGACCAGAAGTCTTGGTCCACCTCTTTTTCTCATTTTCTGAAAATCTGGTGTATTAGTTTTGCTTTGTTTTCCCAAACCTGGAAGTAACTGATCTAAGGAAGAAGCAGGACTGTGGGGGCACAGAGGATCCCTCTTCCTCCTGAGCAACTTCCTCCTTGTAGTGTCTGGGGTTTACAGGCTCAGTAGCAACCTGTCAGTCTAGAGATTTCCCCCACTCCACCTTCCAGAATTCCACAAATGTGAAGAAGATTGCTTAGGGATATAATGTATGCTGTCTAAGAGCAAACCGAGCAGATCTCAGTAGTATCTACAAACACTGGCATTTTTGTCACTCTCAGCTGGGGATGAGGGTACCTAACGCTAAGGTCTGAACCATCCAACTTGCCTAGTTCAGAAACCTATACTAAAGAAGGACTTTGTTGCCCTATGCAAGCAAATCATGCAAAAACATATGCTTATTTTGTTTAGGTGTCTTCCTTCATAACTGTCTCTAATTTGATGAAATCAAGGCTACCACATCTCTTTCTTTCTTTCTCTTTTCCTTTCTCTCTTTCTTTTTTTAAACTGAGAGAGAGAGAGAGAGAGAGAGAGAGATCTACTATCTGCTGATTCACTCCCAAAGCAGCCACACAGTTCAGGGCTAAAACCCATGACAAAACCAAGAGCTTCATCGGGGTCTCCATGTGAGTGTTAAGGTCCCAGGCATTTCAGCCATTTTCTACTACTTTCACAGGTGTATACTATTACAGAGGGGGGTGGATCAACAGGGTCATGAACCAGCACCCATAATGGGATACCATTGTTACAGGTGACAACTTGACTTGCTGTGCGGTAATCCCAGGACTGATGCTGTACTCTTAAATGCAAAATGTAAACAAGAGAGAAACAAAGCATTTGGGAAGCCTGACAACATTTTTAAAAAAGAAAGATGGCTTATGTAAAAGGTAGAGTGACAGAAAGAGATGTTCCATCTTCTGGTTTACTCCCAGATGACCACAGCAGCCAGGGCTGGGCCAAGAGGAAGCCAGGAACTCCATCCATCTATGTCTCCCAAATAGCTTGCAGGGAGCCCAAGCACGCAAACAAGCTTATTGCTTTCCCAGGTACATTCGTGGGTAGCAGAATGTCCAGGACTACGATATGGGGTGCCAGAATTGCTTAACCCACCTTGCCACACTGCTGGCCCTAATAGCTTTTCTTTAGGAAGCATGTAGATCCTTACAAGATGCACTGGAGCCTCATTAGGGATGGAGCTGACAGTGAAGGTTTGGATGCTCTCCATCTTCCCTAGATTCTACTGCAACTTGTCTGTATATGAAGTATGAGCCCAAAGACCACGAAACTTCCAAGATCAAATAACTGCTGTTCCTTGACCGACTTTGGAGGAAGGCAGGAGACAGAACAGAAAGTGACAAAAAAAAGGAAAGAAAAATTTTAAAAATATGGAATAAAGAGCCTTTTCTGACTAAACCAGAAAAGTGTGCCATTGTTTTCTCATGAGTCATACATCAAAACAACAGAGGGATTTCAGCTAGATATTTTTGCTGGTGCCTTGAAAACAGGAGTTGTGGAACGTCGGTGGAAAAACAAGTGCTATGCGGAGGAGAGCCCCTTCACCCTCCCTGAGCAGGCACAGCACTGCCTTGAGACACTCCAGGACTGACCCAGGGCCGCAGGGCTGTGCCAGGCTACATCCTCTACCACAAGGCATCAGCTAAAGCCAATTGTGAGGCTGCACAAAGCAATGCTTGTTTGTAAAACACAGTCAGCTGAGAATGGAACCAGCTATTTTCTCCTTACCTTCTTAGGGCCAGGGGCAGGGCCTGGGTGGAGAAGCTGTTCAAACTATCAACACAGGATGTGTGTGCACTGCAGGGATTGACAAAGCCCCAGTGATTTTTTTTTTTAAGGTCTCTGGGATTGTCTCCAGGCATGAAAGGTAAGTGTTTTCTCCAGCAAGGCCTGCTTTCCTGGGGCCTAAGCACCTTGGACTGACCATGTGGCCCTGTCTAAAAGGAAAGAGGAGGGAGTCAAATAACCATCAAAGGTTCGTGACTTCCACCTTAGCAAAGCATCTTTAACCTCAAGTTAAGAGGTTTTTTTCCTGTGACTTCTTTCATAGTCGGTTTCCAATGGTGGTTTTCCTGGAGGCAGGGGCAGAAACTAATGCAGAGGAAAAGAACTCATGGAAGGCACCAAGACTACGAGCTTTTGAGGATGCAACAACAACAACTGCAAACAAATTCATTTTACCTTCCTGGTTACAGCTGGATCCAGGTAGCCCTTGAGCTTCTGAATGTAAGTATGAGGAGGATTCTTCACTTGGAAGCGTTCCTGTAAGAAGCACATAAGTAAACTGCATGAAAGGTAGGAAGGCATGACACATTCAAATCAAACAGCTTAATAACATCACTGATGAAGGACCAAATGCATCCATGCAGGGACATGACCCTACAAAAAGACACTATGTACTGATTGTTTTGAATCTTTATAACACATTTCATAATCTTTGAACAGGAGGAGAACTGAAGCTCAAAGACATGCAGTCTACTTGTGCTTGATGATGACACAGCCAGTCAATAGGACATGTGGACTTTTTAATTAGTTAATTTTTATTTCCCCTGTCTCCTTCCCACCTAATCCCCCCATATTATTACTATAGCATAACTTTTCATAAACAGTCACATGTTCATCATTGTGGGTAGGGATAATGGCCAAGTGTCCAGACTCCCATTGTCAAAATACAGCTAATAGTTTCATTAGTAGTCCATCTTTGATCTGGAAGTAGAGATGCACACTGCACTGCATCCTCATATCTGGACATGATAGTCTCTATTACACAGTCACCACACATCCCTCTTAAATGAAAAGCCACAATACAAAATCAACAACAGGAAGAAAAACAGAAATTTTCAACACCATGAATTTCTCAAGAGGTTTTCATAGTTCAACAGTCCTGAATTGCTGGTGAATCCACCACTCCAATCACGATGAAATCTCTCCCGAATCCACTGGTTGCTATGATCCACCTTAGTGTCTCCGTCTGCCCAGATCTTCACTGCCAATGATTGGCTGGGGTAGTTGATCAATTTGTTCTGTCCTCTGTCCTCTGCCATGGTACCAGGTGTCCTCTGGAGGCTCTGATGTACTGCCATATCCTCCATGTACATTTGGATATGCTGTCCTCTGCTCCATCTGAGCCACTGAGGAGGCCCAGCTCTGACACATCCACTCCCACAGTCAGCATATGGAACCAGCACTTATATTCATGGTTAGGGTTCTGAGTCCAGCAATTCAGTTGGTAGGGAATCGTCCAAGAAACCTCATCTGAGGCCATTGCAGACCTGATTCTTGTATGTGTTTGCCAATACAGGGTCTGGCACAGTCTGTCACCCAAATCAGCCTACGCACACACTGGTGGTTGCAATTGCTGGGTCAGTTCTATCTCCAGCCCCATGTTTTACAAAACCTGATGGGTGTTGGAGCCCAGCCCAATCCTGCCCACCACATACTCAGCCTTCACATAAACCAGTGGGAGCTGCAGCCTAGTCGGAGTGACTCACAATAGCCCCCACCAGGCCTGCCCCTGCCCTGGTTCCTGTGCTTGCCAGTATGTACAGCAGACTGGTCCTGTCTGTCCCACATCCCATTCAGCTCTCGTACATGTTGATGGGTATTGAAGCCCAGTTTGTCCCAACCAGCCCCACTATCCAGTCCACACTGGTGCCAGCAGATGCCACCATCTGTCTAAGCCATACCTACGTCTGACAGAATTTGGCCCCTGATGCTGCAGCAAAGCCCAATCAATCCACACCAACACTGGCTTATGCATGTACCAGAAGGTACAGTCAGCCCAGCCTGGCTTTTCCCTGATCCAGCTCACATGTAGGCCATCGGATGTGGCCCTGCCTAGCCTGGTCTGCCCCCATCCCAGCTCTCATGCTCACCAGTGGGAGTAGTGGCCCAGCAGGGGGGCCTTCACAGCCCCCTCACTGGGGTTATTCCCACCACGCCCCATGTTTCACATGTGCTGGTTGGGTGCTGCAGCCCAGTCTGGCACAGCCCCCTCACCTTGGCATTTGCCAGTGGGTGCTGTAGCCTGGCCAGGCCAAATCCGCCCCCCCCCCCAATTCCAACTCATGCTGGTGGGAGCTACAGCCTAGCCCAGCCCTGCCAGTCCCCAGTCCTGGCCCTTATGTGAACTGGCTGGTACTGTGCCCTGACCCACACTCCATTTTGGCACTCAGATTTGCCAGTTGGTGATATGGACTGACCCAGTCTGGCCTGCCCCCAACCTGCACCAAATGTATGCCAGTGGGTACCATATTTTGGCCTGGTCTAGGCTGTTCCCTGTCTTGATTCTTGCATTCATCTGCAGGGAGCATGTAACAACCGAGCAGTTCCCCAGGCTCCTCTATGCAGATCCAATGCCAGATCTCGCGCACACTGGTGGGTCCATGGGCCAGCCATACTTAGCCCACCTCCTGTCCTAGCAGGAACAGTGGCCTTTCCTCACCAGCCCTCACCCATTCCAGTTCTTGCTGTTGGGTGCTACAGCCCAGCCAAGCCTGATCCATACCCAGACACAGCTCACACATGGCTCAGTAGGGGCAGAGACCTGGCCTAGCCTGTAGGACACGTGAACTTGAACTCATGTTAGCTCTGCTGCTTTCTCAGCTGAGTCCTATATCTCTCATTCTAGGTTTCTGCAGGTCTTCAATTAGTTGTATGTTCTCTTAACTATCTTCAGTGTTGGAAAATCATTCCTTCTTGCATGCTTAGTTTACCTTTGAAACAACAACAACAACAAAAAACATGATTCACATTGGATAAAACTAATTTATTCCAAAGACATGAGTAGCAATTCTAAGGCTAAGAGAAGGAGGGTCACAGTGTGCTTGTATTTGTATGCCTTTATATACATGAGTGTTATCATTAGTGAATTCCTAAGGCAGTTCCAAATGAGAAAATCCCCAAAAATACGTAATATTTATGTGCCATCTGAATGTAGATCTTGGATAGGGCTCCAAAGAGGTATTTCTAGCAAGTTTTACACTGATGCTGCCAACAGAAGAACAACACTTTGAGACCATCAGGCACACATTTATTGAATTTTAAGCTACAATATTCAAGACAGAACAGACAACAGTGTACCAATTCAGGAGAAAAACAAACGTCTACATACTTGCAAATAAGTACTAACAACCCCGCATTACATCCAATGACAACAGTATAGCCTATGCTTATGAGAGATTTCATAAACCTGAGGCCAAGCCAAAACAAACACATCATTGTATTTACATGAAATCTCAAAACAAAATAATTAAACTCTAATGCTTAGAAATGCATACACAAACGCAATATTTCTGTGTATGATGTTATTGTGTGTGTGTGTGTGTCTGTCTGGAGATGATCAGCATAAACTCAAGTATAAAACACTGAGCAGGGTAAAGGTTGTATTCAAGGAAGGAAGTACAATGGGTCCAAGCTGGCTGGAAGCGATTCTTTTCTTGACTGGATCAGAACTTAAACAGGTGCCGGCTTTCTACTATTCATCTTACAGCTTCTTAGGTCTTACAAATAATAACAATAAAAAAGTTTAAATCAGCTCCAGAAGGATTCAAAAACTAAAGTCAAACGAAGGTTTTTGTCATTGAGGACAATTCTTCTTTTCCATCTAAAGCTCAGAATGTTTTTTGCGGCAATATTTTAAAAATCTGGTTACTGTTTGATCTATAATGGAATTTTTCAGTATTTCCCTACACTGACAATTAGGCAACATGCTTAACCATTTGTTTATCCCATACAAGCTTATGTTTCTCCAACACAGGGATTCCCAACATTCTTCCCAGTTCACCCAATTCTTACTTATGTACAGATTTAGAAATGTTAAGGACTGGATTACTAATGTTGAACAGAGAACACATTATATAATAACGTTTATTGGTACAAATGGTTTCTAATAAAATATCAATTAATATTTTCACTTTGTTTAAAATAAAGGAGGATAAATTTCACGGTATTTAAATTACACTTCTATAAAGCTCTGGTTTTTATGTAAAAAAAAAAATAAGCATAATATTCCTACTTAGCACCTCAAAGTTTCCTTCCTAAGTAAAATATAAGTTCACAAGTATTCAACATCTCTAGTGTCACTGCGTTAGGGTATAAAACCTTCAAAAATAATTTTTTAAAAAATCACTGAAGGATCAGAGGCAATTCAGGTGCCACAGGGATTTATCAAGTGTGAGTGTCTGGGTCAGGGCTTGAGAGAATTGCCAAAATCTCTGAAAAACAGCCTAAGGAGCTACCAAAGTTCAGTTGTTTGAAATGGAGTGATGGTTTAGCTGGCTAATCTTCTGCCTGGAAGTACCAGGATCCCACATGAGCACTACACCAAGGCCCCTGTCTCCCTGCTGCTCTAATTCTCACCCAGCTCCCTACTTTTGGGCTGGGAAAACAGTGGACAATGGCCCAAAGCTTTGGATCCCTGCACTCTCAGAGGAGACCTGGAGGAGATCCCTGGCTTCAGGATCAACTCAGCTCTGGCTATTATAGTCATTTGGGAAGTAAACCAGCAGATGCAAGATCATTCTGTCTCTCATCTCTGTAAACATCTTTCTTAGAAAGTTGTTGTTTTCTATTTTGTACGTGACATAAACTGAACAACATATCAGAGAAATATTAGGATAAACGAAAATTTTGCTTTTTTAAAAATAACAACTCTATACCAGTTTTTACAAATCCTATGACCCATAATCACACCAGCTGTATGCTTCCTTCTGCTGTGGCAAGTAATGGTCGATTTAAGGTCACTAACACATGAAAGTCAACAAACTATAGCTCTGGTCAAAGTACTAATGCTTAAGGACTCAAAATCTGAACTAGCCAACAGGTTGCTGCCAAGTGGCTGTTCTGATAGGCTGCATCTTCATAGCATAAGAGCCATAGTTAATCCTCCAGAAAAGGAGAATCTGGTTGAGCAGACCACAGAGCTAAGAGATTAGATGACTTGCTTAAAATCATTCTCCTATCTATATCAAAATAGAGATACAGAGACAGTTTCAAAGAGTTTGCAAGAATGCATGCTATAAAATATCATTCCTGAGTTTAAACTTCTTTGCACCAAAATAAGGTTATCTTTTAATTTTCATTTTCCATCAATTCCATATATCAGAACCAAGATTCAAACACAGGCTCTGACTTTTTGTTCCTTTTCACAACACAGTAATAAGTGTCAGGAATTTGATGGTGTACTTCAAAATGGAAGTTTTGTCACTGATAGTTTTCATGGAACTAAACTTTTAAATGCTATATGCAAGGCAATTCTCTCA